CGGCGGGAGCGCCGCCGCGCTCCCAAGCGGTGCACTGTAGCAGTGCGCCACCAGGCCGGCCCTAAAATAATATTTTAATAATAATTTTTTCTTTACAAAAGAAATATGTTCAAAATATTTAGAAACTGTGGATAAGCATAAAGGAGCAATCACCCATAATCCAACTATTCATAACAGTTTTGTGTAACTTCCGCCTCCCTCCTTTCCTCCCTTTGTATCTATGTACTTATTTTAAAAAGGGATAATGCTGTATATACATACTGATTTTTTTTTTTTAACCGGTGGCTGGCCATATTGATTACTAACCTGCTCTTCTCATTAATATATTGCAAACGGCTTATCATGTCATTTAATGTTTAGTGATATCATTTTAAATACTTTTACTGTACTGAAAATGGGGAAAAATTAGAGAATACCAGTAAACATAGAAAAGTTTATCTAATTGACCTTTGTTAACATTGTATATATTTTATATATTTATTGTAGGAAAACTAGAAAATACAGATAAACATAAAGAATTGTTACATGATGCAAACTTTCAATAGTATTTCAACGTATATCCTTCCAGAAACTTTCTATATGTGTGCACCATTTTTCCTTCCAGAACAAATACTGTTTATTGAGCTCTTATTATACACCAGGCACTGTGTCAAGCTCTTGAAAAGCGTTTTCTCATTTAATTCTCAAAACTACCCTATGAGATAGGTTCTCATTGTTATTCCTGTTTTATAGAAAGGAAACCTAGAATCATGCCATATGTATTATTTTATTGTATTTTTTACTTAGTTGTGCCAAACATTTACTGCTATGGAAAGATATTTACATCTACATCTTTAAGAGCTTAACTGGCATTTCCATTGTGTGGTTATAGTATCATTGTTCATTTTGGTTGAATTTTTAGATTATTTTCAGTTTTATGTTATTATAAATAATTTTATTATTAGCATCTTTGTCCACTTGTCCAATTGTTTTCTTTAATTCCTAGAAGTAGAATTCTTTTTTAAGATTTTTGATACAGGCTGGCTGGTTAGCTCAGCTGGTTAGAGTGCAGTGTTAATAACACCAAGGTCAACGGCTTGGATCCCGGTACTGGCCAGCCATCAAAAAAGAAAAAAAAAAAAAGACTTTTGATATATATTGCTAAATTACTTTCCAGAAAGATTATACCAATTTATCTTACCCCAAGTAGTTTAAAAGAGTGCCTGTTTCTCTGAATCCTTATGATCACTATAGAGTGGTTATTCATTCTAAACATTTTTTGAGTTTCCTCAATGTGCCAGGCACTGTACAGAAGTGAGCAGTGATCCCTGCCTTCATGAAGCTTGCAGTCTCTTCAGTTATAATTTTAATCTTTACCAGTTTAATAGGTAAATGATGCTTGTTTTAGGCTGCATCTTTTTTATTGCTAGTGTCATTGAAAAAATTTTTTTTCTTTTTGACGGCTGACAGGTATGGGGACCTGAACCTTGACCTTGGTGTTTTAACACCATGCTCTAACCAACTGAGCTAACCGGACAGCCCTGAAAATTTTTTTCATATTTGCTGGCTGTTCGTTTTCTTTTGTACAGTATTTTTCATGTCCTTTGCTTTTCCTATTGGTTTGTAAATCACTTTTATATGTTAATGCTCTATAGATTTAGGACACTACCTTTGTGTTTATCATATGTTACATTTGCCACAGATGTTTTTTCCTCCCAGAAGAAGTCTGCTTATTTATTTACGTTTCTAATTAAATAATTTGTAATGAGCAAGTCTGTTAATCTTTTCCTATATTTTAGTTGTCATGCTTAGAAAGTCCTTCCTCTTATCTATTTTTTATGTATAGTACTTCTATGGTTTTTTTTTTTACACTTAAATTTTATAATACAGCTAGAATTTATTTCAGAGTAAGCTGTGAAGTAAGAATTTAACTCCCCCCCCCCAATTAATTGGTTGTTGTTAACACCTTGTATTTAATCTATCGTTCTGCACTGATAAATACACTCTGATTTTTTTTTTTTTTTTTAAAGATGACCGGTAAGGGGATCTCAACCCTTGGCTTGGTGTTGTCAGCACCACGCTCAGCCAGTGAGCAAACCAGCCATCCCTATATGGGATCCGAACCCGTGGCCTTGGTGTTATCAGCACCGCACTCTACCGAGTGAGCCACGGGCCGGCCCTAAATACACTTTGATTATTTCTTATGTAGACCAGGGCCTGCTTATGGACTTGGTGTTTTGTTGCATTTATCTAGCTGTCTGTCCCTGTGCTCCTGTGCTCCTGTTGTGGTTGGTCCTAGCTTTTGGTGGTGAAAGACCGATTCTCTTAGCTTTTTTTGTATGCTTAATCTTCCAGATGGATTTTAGAAACATTTGTAATGGTGGCCAAAAAATTCCATTGGGTATTTAGTTTAAAAAGCTTATAAATTGTGTAAGAATTAACGAATGTATACTGTTGAGTCTTCCTATTTTGGAACATGGTATTGATGAACATGGCATTTTGTATACATGTAGGATGTTCATTTGGAGATGTTCTGTAGGCATTGGCTTGTGTGGATGTGAAGCTCAGGTCAGCAAGATGGGGGACAAGATATAAAGCTTTGAGACTTTTGGGCTTGTAGGTGGTATTGAAACCCTGGGACTGGATGGGCCTGGTCAGGAACGTTTAGATGGAGGCTGAGGATAGAACTCTGGGGAATGACATTTAAGAGGTAGATAGAAGATGAAGGACCTGAAAGAAACATCATGTTGAAAAAGATGGTAGAGTGGAAAGGGCATGGGGCTTTGAGGCAGTCAGATGAGCATTCAGATTTTGGCTCTGTGGATGGAGGCTGAGGATAGAACTCTGGGGAATGACATTTAAGAGGTAGATAGAAGATGAAGGATCTGAAAGAAACATCATGTTGAAAAAGATGGTAGAGTGGAAAGGGCATGGGGCTTTGAGGCAGTCAGATGAGCATTCAGATTTTGGCTCTGTGTTTACTATTCATGTGACATTAACTTTCCCAAACTTTTATTTCCTCATCTTTGGAATGGGAACAATATAGTCTACTTTACAACATTGTTTAGAGGACAAATTGAAGTAAAAGAGAAGCAATAGGGTATGCTAATTGGAAATAAGAGTTCTAGAGTCGCTGTAGGGGTTTGTATCCTTGCTTTTCCATTTACTAGTTGCATGATCTTAGGAAACCAGATGACAATAATGATAATAATACCTTTCTTATAGGAATATTTCAAGATTTAAATGAACTGATGCAAGTAATGTGCGTAACACATGCCTGAGACATAGTAGGGACTTAGGAAATATTTGCTTTGATGATGATAATGTATAAAATGTCTAACACAAATCCTAGCATACAGATACTTAGTATTAGTGCATGCCTCCCATCAGAAGCTTCTGAATAGGAGGAAGACCTGTATCCTTCACAGAAGGTAGAACTGGAGAAAAAGAGAAGAATGGTAATGCACGTTGATGTTGCTGTGTGGCACATGTATCTGATTAGGTTAGACAGGCATCTTATGGAATCCTGTTTGGCTTAAGTCATTTATCCAGAGCTTGTGATGAAGGGAACTATTTAGGGTGAACTAATTTCTTCTTCCTCTAGGCAAACACAGAGCAGCCCAAGCTAAGTAGAGATGAGCAGCGGGGTCGAGGTGCCCTCTTACAGGACATTTGCAAAGGGACCAAGCTGAAGAAAGTGACCAACATTAATGATCGGAGTGCTCCCATCCTCGAGAGTGAGTCTAAGCTTCATTTCATAATGAATCACCAGGATCCCAGGGTTGACTTGGAGACTTGGCTAGCCTGTCATTTTTATTATTGGGTCTTGAGTAGGAGAGTTTTGTCCCAGCATATCCTTTGGCTCTCTTCGCATCTGTTCACTTGAATATCTTAGAGGTTTTTCTTGATCTGTGGGAGGCATTCTCAGGGTTGAGATTCTCACTTCCTACTGTAACTAATGCTTATTAGGGCACATCCTTGTCTGTTCTTTAAGAAGACCACCGCATTCCTAGAAACCTCTTGTCTGAAGCCAAGGATGGTGTTTTGTTTTTTAGTGGCTGGCCAGTACAGGAATCTGAACCCTTGACCTTGGTGTTATCAGCACCGCACTCTAACCAAGTGAGCCAACTGGCAAGCCTCAAGGATGGTTTTATAATTGCTCCAAGTGTCCATTCCTGTAGACCTCAGGGAAGTTTGCTCACACCTGAGTCCCTGAGCCATTTTCCCGCTTGGCACCTGGGACTTGGAGAGGAGAGCCCAGAGAACTCTTTTGAACATTTCTTTATCCCTGTTATCCCTTTGCCCTAAATAAGGAAAGACGGGCTTCTTGTTCCTTTTGTTCTTTCTTTCATCACAGCCAATAGTTTCATCTCCACACAAAGATATGGAGCACAGAGGCTAGCTTTCTTTAATGGAAAGGCAAAAGCAAGATTGGTTTGTTTGCAAAATAAAGCCCAAATAGAGGAAGGATTTCTCTTCAGGATTGATTTGGTTACCAGCTTAGAGCATATGAAATGAAAACCCTGATGGTATGCTTTCCAGAGCCCAAAGGAACCAGTGGTGGTTATGGCTCTGGAGCAGTTGCCCTGCAGCCCAAGGGAGGTCTCTTCCATGGAGGAGTGCCGAAGCTCCGACCTGTGGGAGCCAAGGATGTTTCAGGTATCTGATACGTACTTTCTTAGGATATTTCCCAAGTGTGTTAATTTCTGACTTGTCCTAACTGGGCCATCTCAAGTTGAGGAGTGTAGTACAGGTGGGACAAAGGAGGAGTGGGAGCAGGGGAGGAATTATAGAGTAGAATAAAGCAAAGCTGAGGGATTAAATAAAAATGTATTCAACTTGGATAAAGAAAATGTGGTATATGTACATAGTAGAGTACTATTCAGCCTTAAAAAAGAAGGAAATTGTTATTTGTGACAACATGGATGAACCTGGAGGACATTGTACTAAGTGAAATAAACCAGGCACTCATTTATATGTGGAATCTAGAACAGTCTAACTCATGGAAGTAGAGAGTAGAATGGTGGTTACCAGAGGCTGGGAGTGGTAGGGGTGGGGATGGGGAAAGGAGAGTTTGGTCAAAGGGTACAAAGTTTCAGTTAGAAAGGAGGAATAAATTTTAGTGATCTATTACACAGCATGGTGACTATAGTTAAGAATGTAATGTATATTTCGAAGTTGCTAAATGAGTAGATGTTAAATGTTCTCACCATAAAGAAATAAGAATGTGAGGTGATGGATATGTTAATCAGCTTGATTTAATCATTCCACAGTGTAAACATATAACATCACCTTGTACTCCATAAATATATACAATTGTTATTTGTTAATTAAAAATAAAATTAAATGAAAAAAAAAAAAGTATTCAACTTTCATCAGCAGTATTTGTTAATGGGCCCTGAGCCTGAAACCAGATTAAAACCTAGAACTATGCAGGTACTTTTCCTGTTGCTGTGTAGGTTGCAGCAAGGCTGGGTGCAGTAGAGATACTGACCACTGTCTAGCTAGCTCTGCTGACCCAGTGCTGTCCGGTGTATTTGTAGAGAACCTAGCTGCTAAGCCAAGTTCTCGAGCTGCCGCCCCAAGGCCTCCAGTGTCTATAGCCAGCGGACGTCCTCAAGATGATACAGACAGCAGCCGAGCCTCACTTCCAGAACTGCCCCGGATGCAGAGACCCTCTTTACCGGACCTCTCTCGGCCTAATACCACCAGCAGTACAGGCATGAAGCACAGCTCCTCTGCTCCTCCCCCACCACCCCCAGGGCGGCGTGCCAATGCACCCCCTACACCTCTGCCTATGCACAGCAACAAAGGTCCAGCCTACAACAGAGAGAAACCCTTGCCGCCGACACCTGGACAAAGGCTTCACCCTGGTCGAGAGGGACCTCCTGCTCCACCCCCAGTCAAACCTCCTCCTTCCCCTGTGAATATCAGAACGGGACCAAGTGGCCAGTCTCTGGCCCCTCCTCCTCCACCTTACCGCCAGCCTCCTGGGGTCCCCAATGGACCCTCCAGTCCTACTAATGAATCAGCTCCTGAGCT